CAGAGGTTCGGTCATTTTTAAAACGTGAATGCCACACAAAAGTTTGTGCACGACCCATTGCGGACTCCCCAAATGCTTGCTTTAGCATTTCATAGGTTTCCGTAGCCGTTTTGGCGAGTCTTTGGCAAAATTTGATGCACACGCCATTCCGAAATCGCAGGAGGGTCGGTGTAATGCAGTACCAAAACACCCGTAACTAAGAACCAAATGCTAATTCGATGATGCCGGCTGGCACACTGATTCACTATGAATGTAGGCCGCACCCCTAGCGGCAGAAGCTCGTACTACATCCGGTTCGCCCTCTATTGACACAGTCTGGAAACTTTCCGATCGCACCTCGTATATTTCGGACCGTGTTTTGGCTTACCGTTGCGTAAACAGCTACATTCTCGAAGAGAAAGTTAGATTGTGAATGAAAGGTCATTGAAGCAGGTTTTTTTCCGGGTTATTCGGTTTCCACCTGCTAATCGCCGTCACAGTGACCGCTTGGTCACTGGGATCGTGAGTTCGAATCCCACTGGCTCCGTTAAGGACATGCTCAGGCGATATGGGATTTGTAGCGATTTCTAACTCCAAAGACTAAACTTACGAGGTAAATATTCTGACTTGTTTGGTAATAATTTTAAGTTTCTATGGAGTACAATAGCGTAATTTACTATAATCACTGGCCAATCTACTCACACGACTTTTGATTGTTATCACGTCATCTCTAAGATTGGCATTTGTCCAGGTCACAATTTACTGCTTTATATATTGAAAGCAATTTTAGTTTACCTCAGAACTGATGTTTATAGCACTCAAAATAATGACACATATTAACGATATAAATCTTATAGAGCTGAAATATTATACCATTTTGCAATTCACCTTCAAAATATGGAGGCAGCATGTTCTTGCACAAAAAAATGGAATAAAGTCAACCAAAACGTCATATTGTGGAGCAGTCCAGAAAACCGCCATCTTCTTTTGACCCATTGCAACCTTCCATATTCTTATCTACTTACAATAATTATTGTGGACCATCCTCTAATCTAATATCATGCTACATAACCTCATCTTAAGGAACAAAATGGTGAATAACCATGTAATCAATCAATCAATAAAGAAGGAGAATTAGAAAAAATTACGATAGAGAAAGAAAATAATAAAAAAATCAGTTCATGAAGACAATTAAAGAAGACTCAATGAAAACAGGAAACCGTGGTCTAGCGGTTAGAACGATGGCTTTGTAATCCTGGGGTCTCGGGTTCGATTCCCGGCGGTGCCCGAATTTATAACTTGTGTTGGGCAAGGCCGTGGTCTAGGCAACACGGAGTTTTCCTCCGTGGCATCCCAACAATTACTCCATTCACACACAGAAGAAGGCAAGGGCAAACCACTTCTGGATCATCTGCCAAGAACGTATATGAACAGGTCCCAGTCCGAGGAAAGGATGGAAGGATCCTGTTCATATGGACCTGTCGTCAGACAGAACACTAAATAATAATAAGATAAGGTGGTCTAGCGGTTAGAACGCTGGCCTTATAATCCTGGGGTCTCGGGTTCGATTCCCGGCGGTGCCCGAATTTATAACTTGTGTTGGGCAAGGCCGTGGTCTAGGCAACACGGAGTTTTCCTCCGTGGCATCCCAACAATTACTCCATTCACACACAGAAGAAGGCAAGGGCAAACCACTTCTGGATCATCTGCCAAGAACGTATATGAACAGGTCCCAGTCCGAGGAAAGGATGGAAGGATCCTGTTCATATGGACCTGTCGTCAGACAGAACACTAAATAATAATAAGATAAGGTGGTCTAGCGGTTAGAACGCTGGCCTTATAATCCTGGGGTCTCGGGTTCGATTCCCGGCGGTGCCCGAATTTATAACTTGTGTTGGGCAAGGCCGTGGTCTAGGCAACACGGAGTTTTCCTCCGTGGCATCCCAACAATTACTCCATTCACACACAGAAGAAGGCAAGGGCAAACCACTTCTGGATCATCTGCCAAGAACGTATATGAACAGGTCCCAGTCCGAGGAAAGGATGGAAGGATCCTGTTCATGTAAAGGAGACGGCGTAATATAGAAGAATAATGAAAACTGGATGTGCACGACATAATTTATTTCATACTGTACTGCTGTAGTGAACAAATATACATATATACACAAAAAAAACATTGCATACATGTTTCCAGCATTGTTGATGTTTTAAGTCTCTTGTTTCTACAGTCTGATAAATTAAGGTTGTACGATTGGAACAACGACAACAACAACAACAACAACAACAAAGATGCAATCACTCTCTCTGACTGATGCGATCAGCCAGTCAGTGTTCAGATCTTATTGGGGGCTCAGTTCCAGTCCTGAACACTGATTAGCTCATCAGAAGATGCTAACTTTATCCGGGAATATTTTATTAGAGTCGGTCTCAGTTTCCTATTCTGTTATCTTCAACTGTTTTGATTCATTTCATGATTTATAGCAACATTTCAAAGACAGTATTTCGTACTAGAATTTTCGAACCAAGTCTTCTGCTTGAACACCGTTATAAAAAAAGAGAGCTGTTAACCTATAAGCCGAACTATGAAGTGAATCACGATAGCTCAGTAGATAACGTGATCGACTTTCAAGTGGATGACGGATCTATACCAAATACCAAGTTCTGTATTGCATTGTTCCCTGTATGCTTTCAGGGCGACAGAGGGCATATTTACCTGTTATTACAATAATATATATAAGACAGGTACCCTGGTCCTCCAGGTTGGGGGGTTGGTCGCAAGGCTAACAACCTTGCACCGTAAAAAGGAAGATGTTTCGAAACCTCGATCAAAGCTTCGGACAGAGGAGAATTGAGGAGGCCATGGATCGAATACGGACCGGAGAGCCATGGAAGATAATTCTGTGTGCTAAATATTTATATTTTGAATCTTTCTCACTTGCATGATTTGAAGAAAACATGATTATGGGAGCTAATTATCAGCAAAAGCACTTTGCCCAAACCACTTTAAAAGATATTTAAGTGAAGTGATAAGTATTTCTATGGACTCACTTAATATACTCAACATTCCCTAAATAGTTTACGTGTTTCCTCAAAATACGGGAAAATGTGACGAGCCAATGGGAATCTCTCTTGAACTTGTTTCTACATGGCTTCCCCCAGTGGAAAATTTTTAAAATAAAACCAATTTAAACTTTTAATGCCGATTAATTATTTCTATAACAGATTCCTCAAAAGATTTTAGTATATCAGTAAAAAACTGCCCCACTTTACTCCATATAGCCACTTGGGGAGAGAGCTCCTACTCATTAACCTCAGCACTAGATAAGGATGAGTGGTTAGCGTCATGCCCCGGCCGGCTTTACCCCCAGGAAAGAATCCCTGTGTTCATTGGATAGGAGGCCGGGTGGGCCCCAGAGCAAAAATGTTAAAAAAAAATACATATGATCAATAGGGTAAAAAGAAAATGGTTTTACACCCCTCAGTCTTACTGTCAGTTTTTTTAATGTAGGAGTTAATTAAATGGACATTTTATTAGAGCAGCGAGAAATTAAATATTTTATTTGAAACTCAGAGGTTAAGATGAAAATTAAAAAGAGCCTTTTCCTCTTAAAATTTGATCAATACTAACTCTGAAATTTTAGCAGACGAAATAAACGAGCAGAAAATGGTTGAAAAATAATCAGATCGAGTCCTAAGTATCTTCACCACAGACAGAAAACCCTGTTTCTGACTTGAGGTCCTATCTTTTACACGCAGATACACCTTTCTCCGTCGTGTCGATTATATGTACAAATAATTAATTTTTTAACACATACAGAGACGTGGATCAGACAAAGACAGTGATTGCTGCCAATTCCAACACAAATAGAAATACATCGCGACCACAAGCGTCACATAAGTCTGTGCTCTTATATTTACAGTAGACGAACAAAATAGAACATTTTAGAATTATCAGTTCTCATATTCACTGAAAGTCCTTCTGACAACATTTATCAAACTTTGATATATAAAAAAAATTGTCGTTGGTCAAAGAGAAATATTTTCCAAATGACGTGACAATTGTAGATTGACGACTATGTGAGTTACCTCTGTCTTAACCCTAATTGAAGCATTTTTTAAGCAGACAATCTGCGTTACATTAATATTTCACGTCAGCGTCGATTATTTTCCACTTGTACGAAGAGACATGAGTCCATGCGTTCTCTTCTTGATATGAAATTCTGATCCCAGGATTCTACGAAAGTAAGAAAAAAAAATACTTCATAGAAATATCATAGAAAGTCAGAGTTCAAGTTAACAGTACTCAAGTACTATCCTCACTTAAGATTCTGGTAGGCCACCTCAAATGCTGAGTTCATAACACAAATTAAATTAAATTATTTTAAAATTCTGTTTTACCATAAATATTTCTGATAGCGTCAAGTTATGGCCCTGAAGATAACACAAATGAGACACACTTAAGCATAAGCTATGTTATTAGACCGAAGCATTATAGGACAGTCTCGTTGGTGCAGGTTCGAGGTCCGTTGACGAGAGAGTACCGAGAGCTACCCCCATTTGCGCGTGTCGTAACAGTTCCCCGTACAAAGAGCTCCTTGAAAGTCTCCCTGAACTGACGAGACATTCCGCAATAGATCGCAAAATTGATAGGGTAGCTGACAATGATGAAGAAATTGGTAAACAGAATGAGCACATTTGCAATGGAGTAGTCCAAAATCTCAGTCACGCTGCTGGAGATTATGTGGAGTACAGTGACCACGGCGAGGGGTATCTCCACCAGGAGGAAGACTGTGACCACGACGATGAGCATGAGAGTTGTGCAGTTTGAATCCCACAGTCGCTTGCACTCATTCTTTCGATTCTCCTTGAAAAGTTTCTCACGCTTAAGCTGTGCCTCTCGCATGGCACGGAACAGCAACACGTTCAGAACGACTAGCGATACACATGGCACCACATGAACGAATATCACACGGAAGCAGAAGTAGAACGTGAAGTACACATCCAGGTTGATATAGGTGACCCAGTTGGCCCAGATATGTTGGCACACTGTTACCACCTTGTCATCTTCCCACCGCACCTCCAGTGGCTTGTACACCCGGTCAACAAAGCGGGTGGATTGGTGCAAGGTGGCCAGCAGGGCGATGATGCCCACACACTTCAGCACTCGGGGCATTGTGCACCACGTGCGTGCCATCGGTGCGTGGCACACGTATATGTACCTGTAACACAGATACGAA